TCATAAATATTCACTTTTCTCTGTCTTATCTCAAATGCCAATGGTTTGAATGTATCGATATATACATTGGAAATGCCGTTCAATCAAATAAACCCATACCCCACTCACTTGGCCAGGCTTCAGGATCGTCCAGTGGGCAGTGTGCTCTACACTCCAAGTTCCCTTTTTTTCAAATTTACCGCAAATTTGATATTGATTGTTGATTAATCACAATGAAACATTGTAACAGAGGTTGAGGTTACTAGTGTATTAAATAATCTAGGTCCTATTTAGGATTATATCTGAAAATCCAAATCTGGCCAACGCCCACCCTAAACCTAAACCTGTTCTAATCCACCTGAAATTACTAACGAATGGAAGACTTTGACTACCCAGCCATGCAATAGTCTCATTCCGTGCCTTATGGCAACTTGATGATTCTATTGCGCTCATCTTCTGGCACCACCCAGGGGAGACTTGGTCCTGTACCCAATGCTTAACTTATCTCCATTCCACTCAGCTACACGCAATTTCTTGTGATATAGTGGGCGGAATATTATTATATGAGACAATTCAATGCAGACGTCTTTCCAAATTTGGGAAATCGACAGGTAATCGGTGAGCTACCACGATAGTTGCTATTCAACAACTCGACAACGTCCCATCGTCAACGCCTGCTATGAGAATTTCTCATTGCAGACGCCAACGAAACGACGTCATCGAGCTATCGACCAACTAGCCTGGTTATCGCCTGGTACCTTATAGCACGATGCTAGGAGGCGAACCGGAAGAATCGATGAGCTACCTCCCCCAACAACATGCTACAGGCTAGTGAAATCCAAAACGATTCTGCAATGGTAAATAATATAACACTATTAATTAAATTATTCAAAATAATAGGACTATTCATATTCCAGATTGAAAGGCTGAAGTACATTGTCCCAACTGACGCATCTCTGGAAGTAATTAAAAACGATTGGGGACAAACGTTTGGCGCCAGGAAGATCATCAGAGATAATGGTGATGATGCAAAACTGGTTGACGAACTGCTTGAAGCTTTCCCTCTAATGATTGAGTTCAGCGGATCTTTAGTATAATAGTTAAAACTAGCCGTTTCATTCTAATTACTTACAAATTTTTCGGTTATAGATCTCAGTGGATTTCGAAGTGATGTTTCCTAATGCTGGCGACTTCAATGAAACCTGGGAAATTTTGCAGCCAAAAATACTGGCAAAACACCACAGCTTGCATTCATATATCAAATCCCGTGAGTAAATTTGCTGTGAAAATGGATACATTTTTGATTATGTATTTGTGAATTACAGAATTTATTCGAACACTTGTTATCGTAAAGGACAAAAATCCAACTCGTGGGGCTAAGCGCGCAATTCAAGGACCACAAAAGATCACAAATCACTTGGATCATATCATCGAATGGATCAATGTATGAGTAATCACTAATTTGAAAACTTATCCTAATTTGCAAATAATACTAATGACCTTTTTCAGCCCGAAGACGACGTCGAGCAATTCGCTTCTGGCTATACTAAGACCAAGCTACCGATATTAATCGTCAAGGCACCACAGTATGAGGAAGGAGCAACATACATTCGTTTGAACAAACGTGTGTTTTCGGCAGGTTGTGATATTCGCCGAGCATTTTTGCTTTTGGTTCAAACATACTTCATTTTCAAATTCAAGTTTGAACCGTCTCTTGCAAATTTTTACAATTTTTTCGTTGGAGCCGTTTTGACCGTGGATAATATGACGACAACTGTTAACAACTTTATCTTTCAGCTCAACTAACAAAATGCTGAAATGATTATACGGTATGAAACTAAATTTAATTTGTTTAAATAAATGAAAATGATTCAAATAAACCGAAATTAATGTTGTTTTGAATGAACCAGTATGATTAAAACTAAAAAGCTGATTTTTCAGTACAATGATAAATATTGCTGAATTATTTCAGCAAAGTGCTGTCAAATTATGCGATTGCCGGATAACTGGATTTTCAGCAAATCTATTAAATATGCTGAAAATTCAGTAAACCTCTGTCAAGCAGAATGACATTTCACATTGCTGAAAATTTCAGTAATTTTATATTGCTGAAATGATTACTGAAATTTCAGCTCGGCAAAATTCAGCAAAAAATTGCTGATTTCCAGCTATAAAAATTTGGTGTGTACATTTGTTAATTGGGTAGGGATTGTTATAATTTTGAGAAATGTAAAATTTAAAATCTCAAAACTGAGCTGGAATGCAAATTATTAGTACTGCTATTATTTTGAACAATTTGACCTAGTGTCTCACTTTCCGGCAGGTGCTTCGAAAAATTTGGTATTTTGTAATCGTAAAATTGAACATATTTGTAGTTCTTTGGTGAACGTTTCAGCTCAATTGATCTTAAGAGAACAAAGTTACAACTTGTCAAAGTTGACCATTTTGTATAGAAATCGGCATGCGCTGCTATTATATTTTGACACAGTGGTATGAGTGCTCATTAGAATGATGCGAAATTTGAAATTTTCGCTCCACAGTGCTTAAACGGTTCCAAATTGGGTCCTGCTTAGCCTCCCAAAATTTGAACTACTTTAGTAAGAAACTGACTTGGCACAAACCGTTTCAAGTTTATATGGGAATTACTATGTTACTTATATTTTTGTTCATATCTATCTAAAAATTCACCACATCACTATACTTCTAAAAATGATAGCAGTGATTGTAGCAAATTTTCTCAGCTACAACTTTGTTGAAAACCACTTTTCAATCAAATGTAAAGAACAAAAGTTATCAATGATTCAAGTCACTTATGTCTTATGATTATGCTCTTTCAACTGTTCAGCAAGCAACATTGGTGTTTCTGGTGCGAAGAATAGAGCACAAATATAATGGCTACTATGTCAGAATACAGTGTTGCCCACAGAACAGCTGCTTGATCATGCCATAAGATTATCAATCTCTTAAAGAATTAATAACAATTTAATTTGACATTTGGCTGAAAAACAATATTCCGCAAAGTTGTAGCTTATAAAATTTCCCGTGAGAATAGTTATAAATTTTTTTTCGGAAAAGCAATATGGACAATGGGTAGAAAACAATGAACAAAAATTTTGGTTTTCCCATAGTAATTTCCGTATAAACTTCGAATAGTTTGTGCCAATTCTATTTCTTACCAAATGAGTTTAAATTTTGGGAGGCTAAAATCAGGACCTGATTTAAAACCGTTTTAGCACTGTGGAGCGAAAATGTCAAATTTTGCATCAGTCTAGTGCTCATTGCAAGACAGCTATTACGTGATATATGCTGTAATGTGAACGGGATAAATGACTCTCTAAAAGCGAAATTGACAAGTTTTATGTGTCAAACACATACGTCACAACTTCTTCTTTCAACTTATGCCGCGTATACACTTGTATGACCTACTATGAGCATGAGCATTATGTGTATAATAATTATGAGCACTATTCAACAACCATACAAAAAACTATACAAGTGTGACCATGGATGCAATTATAATATTATACAAATAATGCTCATGTTCATAGTTTGTCATCCAAGTGTTTTTCTTCTTCTTTTTATTTTAGTGAATTTTAGCCATTGGCTAGTTCTTCACTTCATCCAAGTATGTCCGCGGCATTACAATAACAAAATATCATTATAGCATTTAATGATTTCATAATTCGGAAAAACATTTTTTTTAGAGCGAAGTGAGTGGAACCAACCCTGGTTGGGACAAAAAAAAAATGTGAGAAATTCGTGACCGGTATTATTGGAAATAATGTCATCATGTTGCGCTATGCGTAATCGTGTCTGAAAACGTCAAAACTCTAAAGTCGACATTGTTCCTTTTAGCGTTGTTGTAACGTCTGGTTCGGTATTTCCGTCTTTTTTTTGTCCATTCTTCAACTAGTTTCAACCTGATTCTACTAGATGAAAATTTGATTACTGTTGGACCAAATCCACTACGGCATATTGTGTTAATTATTTGAAATGATGAAATGCTAATTAGTGACAGTTTGAATTGTATTGATGCTACTACTATTGCTAAATTTAGGCTGAGGACGGGGTGTCCTTTGCCGTACAAAGAAGTCGTCTTCAATCCATTCGATTTATAGCTGCAAGTAGCCACCCACGCCAGCTTCCACCTGGTCGATCCACCTTGACACCTTGCGAGCCTCTCCGTCTTGTTCTAATATTATTATTAATATTATTTTCACCGGGTTGTCGTCCGACATTCTTTTTCTCGTGCTACGCGAGATTTTGTCATTATTAATTTTGGTCTAGCAAATCTCAAGTGCATGTTCTGCATATTCAGTCAAATAACAACATCAAGCAAGCCTTGTAATATGTTATCCTTCGCTATCTGAAGGGTGTGGCAGTCCGTAAGTAGCCACAGCCACTGGGCTGAAGCTGAGCTACGGATGTCAATATGCCGTACGGCTAACCACTGGGCAGACGGACGGTACTATGACATCTGTAGAGAAACGTAGAGGAACAGATAATCGTTAAATAAACGTTCTTATTAAAAGCACTAATTATTAGTTGATTAATCATTAATAAAACGGGTTATCACATCTGGCGACGACGGATATAAACTGGAATTAATTACAGGTAAGATTTATTTAGAAATATTGGAGAAAAGAAAAAAAAAAAACTTTTTTGCTGGGCTAGGAAAGAATCTTCTTGGTTATGTTATGCGTGATGAAAAAAAAAAAAAAAAATGTGGATGGCAAGAATTCTAATAAGAATTTGTTTTCATTTTGTCTAATTTAGTGGAAAATACTACATCCAAGTAGTGGTCGGTGCATTGCACGACGAAGGTCAGATTAAGACCGTAGCAGGCAGAAAGCCGTCAGGTCAGTGAGAAGACCGTACCAGGCAGTAAGCCGTCAGGTCAGGGAAGACCGTATCAGGCAGAAAGCCGTCAGGTCGAGGAAGACCGTCAAAAGGAACGTAGCTCTCGGGTCGAGGACGACCGATAAAGGCAAGAAGCCGCCAGACGGAAACTGGCCGGCCGACAGGATTCGTGGATGTCAATCGTATTGTTGGCCGTGTTTAAACGTAATTCGTCGATTTTGGAAAGGTGAATGCGTAAATAGTATTTACTAACAAACGAAAACCAAAAACAATTATTTTAAATTTTAGCGTTTTTATCAAATAATCAAAGATGGACAAATGGGACATACCGCAATTCAAGTTCAGATCGATTCCAAACAGTACCGTACGCGACGAATGGCAGAAATATAAACGGAATTTCGGTTTCATAGCGGCTGCCAATGGGGAAAAGGACAAAACCCGATTGAAAAATATTTTTTTGGCTAGAGCCGGCCCGGACGTGCAGGAAGTTTTCTCTTCAATACCAGGAGCTGACGTTGATGAAGACAAAGAAAAGAAGATCGATCCGTATCAAACGGCGATCGAGAAACTTGATGAATATTTTTCGCCCAAACGGCACGAAGCTTTCGAAAGGAATTCCTATTGGAATTTGAAGCCAATGGAGGATGAGTCTATGGAGAAGTTTTTGTGGCGTTCGCTTGAGGTGGCTCGAAAATGCAATTTCGGAAGTACCCTTGAGGAGAGTCGTAATATCGCTGTCGTTGACAAGATAATTCTGTTTGCTCCTCCGGAATTAAAGGAGAAACTGCTGCAAAAGGAGTCCTTGACACTAGACGATGTAACTCGAGTGGTCAGTTCGTATGAAGCAGTGAAATATCAATCACAGCAGATGAAAACAGCGTCATCGAGTACAGAACGTTCAGCACCTAGCTATTGGATGGATAATGGCACTAATGTCTGCAAGATTCAAGGTTCGTCGAAAAACCCAACCGGTGAATGTTACCGCTGTGGGCGTAAGAACCACTACGGAAATGATCCGAAGTGTCCAGCTAAAGATCAAAGGTGTAACAAATGTAACAGAATCGGCCATTTCTATAAACGGTGCAGAACAATCACACTTCCTCAGAAGCGAAGCGCGAATAACCCTATCGAATGGCGGGGAAAGAAACCGAAATCCCAAGGTATCATGCGAGTTCAGGACAGCGAGGAGGAAAAACCGGTACCGCCAAATTTCATCTTTAGTATCGGAAATGGGGACGAATTTATCTGGGTCAAAGTAGGAGGCGTCATGATCCAAATGTTGATTGATTCTGGAAGTGCCAAGAACATTATAGATGACAGGACGTGGGCGTACATGAAAACTCATGGAGTGAAAGTTGAGGAATTTTGGAAAGAAGCCGATCAAACTTTCCGTGCGTATGGCCGCGATTCGGAACCGTTAGCAATAGGTTTGTGTTACAGATACTAGTATACACTTGAGGTTCGAAACTATTGTTTAATTATTGATTATAGGTGGAATGTTTGAAGCAGTTATTTCTGTTGAGGATGCCGGAAAGCGGATTGAAAGGAGCGATCGCTTTTATGTAGTACAGGGAGGTACACAACCCTTACTCGGGCGATTGACTGCTACCAAGCTAGGAGTATTGTCGATCGGTTTACCTAGTGTCCAATCTTCTTTGAACCAGGTTGTAGACGAAAAAAGGCCTTTTCCTAAAATCAAGGATGTCAAATTGAGAATTCCTATCGACAGAACTATAACTCCTGTTGTACAACATGTCAGACGCCCACCTATTGCTCTCCCGCATAAACGCGAACCATAAATTGACCTTACCTAAAATGGTTAAAAATTGTTTATAATCCCTGCTAAACTTTAACTGAAATGGTTATGGAACTTTACATGAACGTTTAATGATAAAGTTTCAACCTTATGTATTATGGTTTTTTGGAACTGGACCTTACAAATAATGGGTTGTTAAGAACCATTACCGTTCCAAATTCTTGTTTTCTCCATACATTTTCGGAAAGAGAACTATATTAGAACCTTTTAACTTATGGTTTGAAAACTTTAATGGTAATGGTTATGGTAGTCAGTAAGGTCCACGAATGGTTTTGTAACATCAATCAACTTTATGTGGAATATATCGCGAATTGGTTGCCTGTAATTTACTGATTACCAATTCACGATATATTCCACGTAAAGTTGAGCGATAATACAAAACCATTAATGGACCTTACTGACTACCATAACCATTACCATTAATGTTCTCAAATCATAAGTAAAAACGTTCTTATATAGTTCTCTTTCTTAAAATGTATGGAGAAAACAAGAATTTGGAATGGTAATGGTTCTTAACAACCCATTATTTGTAAGGTCCAGTTCCAAAAAACCATAATACATAAGGTTGAAACTTTATCATTAAACGTTCATGTAAAGTTCCATAACCATTTCAGTTAAAGTTTAGCAGGGATTATAAACAATTTTTAACCATTTTAGGTAAGGTCAATTTATGGTTCGCGTTTATGCGGGCTGCTTTCACGTATTGAAGACAAATTGTCGGCACTTCTGACTACAGATATAATTGAACCAGTCACTGGAGCCAGCGAGTGGGTATCACCGCTAGTGACGATAGTGAAGGATAACGGAGATCTTCGCCTATGCGTGGATATGCGACGCGCAAATCAAGCTATACGACGAGAACACCACATGATGCCAACTATCGAAGATTTTCTTCCTCGCCTCAAAGCTGCCAAGTTCTTCAGTCGGCTTGATATTAAGGAGTCCTACTATCAACTAGAGCTCGAGGAGGATTGCCGAGATATAACGACGTTCATCACTCACAAGGGACTATACCGTTTTAAGCGATTGATGTTCGGCGTCAGCTGCGCGCCGGAAATGTTCCAGAAGGCCTTAGAGCAGATTCTAGCAGATTGTGAGAATACAGTCAATTATATCGACGATATCATCATTTTCGGACAGACAGAAGAAGAACATGACAGGGCATTGCAACAGGTTCTATCAACTCTAAGAGAAAAAGAGGTGCTTTTGAACCATAGAAAGTGTGTTTTCAAGGCAACGGAGATTGAATTCCTGGGACATGTTATCTCAGAGGAAGGCATACGACCAACTGCAAGCAAAATAGAATCCCTGACCAGATTTCGAGCGCCGAAGACTGCTGAAGAAGTTCGCAGTTTCTTAGGACTGGTAACGTACGTCGGACGTTTCTTGCCGGACTTAGCCACAGTAACGGCTCCTTTACGAGAGTTGACGCAATCGGGAAAACATTTTGTTTGGCAAGAAAGTCATCAAAAGTCGTTCGAAAGATTGAAGGAAATAATCGGCGATATTCGAACCCTGCACTTCTTCGATAACTCACTGCGAACGAGAGTAATAACTGACGCGTCTCCAGTAGCCCTGGGCGCTGTGTTAGTACAGTTTGAAGGTAGTGATGATGAAAATCCTCGGGTTATATGCTACGCTAGTAAGAGCTTAACCGCAACGGAGAAACGTTACTGCCAGACTGAACGTGAAGCGCTGGCAATCGTTTGGGCTGTGGAGCGGTTGTCCGTTTATCTCATTGGTCGGAAATTCGAATTGGAAACCGACCATAAACCTCTGGAGGTAATCTTCTCGCCGTCTTCGAGGCCTTGTGCTAGAATAGAGCGGTGGGTCTTACGCTTACAATCCTTCACATTCGAAGTTAAATACAGGAAGGGTTCAAGCAATGTCGCAGATTCTTTCTCTCGGCTGGTGGAAGAAGATAACGCGGTGGAGTTTGAAAAGGATAATAAGTTTCTTATCCTTGCGGTAACGGAATCGGCCGCAGTGGACGTTGGAGAAATAGAGAACGCGGTGGAAAGGGATCAACAATTACGATTGGTAGTTGAAGCTATGCGATCTGGATCATGGACCAGGGTGGAAGTTAAGGCATTCGAACCATTCCAGAATGAGCTTGGACTTGTCGGAGATTTGTTAGTGCGTGGAAGTAAACTGGTGGTGCCGGAACATATAAAAGGGGAGAGGAAGAGGATGCTGGACCTTGCACACGAAGGTCACCCCGGTGAATCTTTAATGAAGCGTAGGCTGCGGGATAGAGTCTGGTGGCCCCGGATGGATGTTGATATCACGTCATACGTCAAGAATTGTGAAGGCTGTCGACTAGTCGGACTTCCTAGCAAACCGGTTCCTATGTCACGCAGAATGATGCCCACAAAACCATGGGTGGATGTGGCCATAGATTTTATGGGTCCACTTCCGTCGGGTGAATACCTGCTTGTCATCGTAGACTACTTCAGTCGATATAAAGAGGTAGAAATCATGGTTAAAATAACAGCTAAGGATACCGTTGGACGTCTCGATAGAATTTTCACTCGACTCGGATATCCACGTACCATGACACTTGACAATGCCAAGCAATTTGTTGGAAAGGAATTTGAACTGTACTGCAACACCCATGGGATTACGTTGAACCATTCTACACCATACTGGCCGCAGGAGAATGGTTTAGTTGAGCGGCAGAACCGATCCTTGCTGAAGCGCTTACAAATAAGCCACGCTCTCGGCCGTGACTGGAAGCAGGATTTGCAGGATTACCTTATTATGTACTATACTACACCGCACTCTTCAACGGGAAAGACGCCAACTGAGTTGTGTTTTGGCAGAACTATCAGATCAAAGATTCCATCCTTGCCATAAATAAACGTTCTTATTAAAAGCACTAATTATTAGTTGATTAATCATTAATAAAACGGGTTATCACAAAGGGAACCAAGAGTTTAATAATGTTTACCCAGTATCCAACAGAGTCTTTCTCCACGTCCATAATTCGTTGTAACCAATACATTCAGTGCACTTCCATTATATACGAAGGAATCGTGATATGATCCTGAATAGTTGGTGTCAATAAAACGCACGGTTAAGGTGTGGTTTCCATATATTGAAAAGCAAATGAACTTTCAGGGCTATTCTGCGCGGCGTGTGAGGTGAAGTGACAGTGAAGTGATGGTGAAGTGACAATTGTCACCTCGGGTGAGGTGACTCTCCATTTGATTTGCACGGAGAGTCACCTCACCCGAGGCGACAATTGTCACTTCACAAGTGAGAGCGTGTCACCTCACCTCACACGCCGCGCAGAATAGGCCTGTTTACCAAGCAAAAGTTTAATCACTCACTAAACTTACCAGCATAAATGTTTGTGCTTTGATGGGGCTATTATTAGAAATCCAGCTTACGCGTTAATCATTTACGTATGCTTTACGCTTACGCGTATTTCTTCTTCGGTTGGAAATTTAATGAAATGAGGACAAATTTCGCTTCCAATGTGTTCAAAATATCCTGACATTGTTGGAGATGCTGGGACATGATTTTGTGTTCACAATATTTAGCAGATATTAAAAAAAAACATCTTTTGAAATTCTGAAATGCTGCACAAATCAGGAATGTTATAATCATTCATTAGTGCGATATTTTGAACAAAGGCTTAACTTACGTTTCAGTCGATAGTTCCAATGGATTAGATGCATCTCTTATTACTCTTCGCTGCACGGGAAAAAATACGATCTCCGAAATGAGATAAATGACTCATGATTTCATGAACACAGCGTATTTTCATGTTATGAAAATACACCATGAATAACATTCATGATATCATGAGCAACTTTTGCGTAACGCAGCAAACATTCCCAAAATCATGAATCATCCGAGTTGAAATCATGAGCTAAATTCATGGGTTTAACCAAAAAAATGTAAAAAGAATAAAATAATGAAACAAACTGGATTCGAAACCAAGAACCTTGAGATCACTAAACCCACACTTTGACCACCCGAATAGAAATTGTAATGTAGGAAACACCAGCAGACATCTTCAATACATTAAATTTTAACGTGTATTGCTGTAACCTTAATGTATTCAGACTTCAGTGTGACGTCCAAGTACATAAAAATACATTAGCCTCAAACGTTACATCAGAATCAAACGTCTTGACGATGTAAAATTTGACATCAGAATACATCCAATGACAACAGAACCTAACGTTACATTAGAATCAAACATCATCACGATGTAATTTGTTGCACGCATAAAACATCAGAATACATCCAATGACAACAGAACCTAACGTTACATTAGAATCAAACTTCATCACGATGTAATTTGTTGCACGCATAAAACAACAGAATACATCCAATGACAACAGAACCTAACGTTACATTAGAATCAAAGTTCATCACGATGTAAATTGTTGTCCCTCGGTCTCTCGCCGCATGCAAAGTTTGTTTTGTCCTGAGTCAGCACTACACGGCGAATGAGAACGACCCAAATTTGAGGTTAGTTCACTCATAAATCGCAAAAAGTGCAGGAACTCAGTTTTGAATTAATTTCCCTCATGTTCCGAATATGAGAAAAGCAAAGATTGGATTCTCTGGATTCTCGTAAATTTTCCTTATTTTAGGGCAGATTTTTGAGGTTTTCC